AGCAAAATCAAGTGGGAAGTACAGAGAGTTCCTATATACCCACAACCTCTCCCACTGTCAACATCCAGCACCAGAGGTACATTTTACAGCTGATGAATTCACATTGACACATTATTATCACCCAAAGTCCATGGTTTACATTAGGGTTCACTCCGATGCTGTGTATTCTGTGGGTTTGGACAAACATATGACATGAATCCATCATTATAGTCTCAGACAGAGTATTTTCACTGCCCTAAAAATCCTCTGTTCGTTCCTCCCTTCCTCCCAGCCACTGGCAACCAATGTTCCATAGTTTTGCCTTTTATAGAATGTCATGTAATTGGAATCGGTATAGTGTGTTTTCAGATTGACTTTTTTCACTTAGGAATATTATTTAAATTTCTTCCTTGGCTTTTCATGGTTTGATAGCTCATTTCTTTTTAGTGCTGAGTAATATTGCATTGTCTGGTTGTATCAGTTTTTTTGATCCATTCATCTACCAAAGGTCCATGTTGGTTGCTTCTGAGTTTTGGCTGTTTATGAATCAAGCTACTATAAGCATTTGTGTGCAGGTTTTTGTGTGGATATAAGTTTTCAAATCCTTTGGGTAAATACCAAGGAGTGAGATTGCTAGTTTGTATAGTAAGCATCTGTTTAGCTTTGAAAATCTGTCTTCCAAGGTGGCTGTACATTTTTCATTCCCCTCAGCAACAAATGAGAGTTCTGATTCTCCACATCCTTTCCAGAATTGGCTATTGTCAGTGTTCTGGATTTTGACCATTTTAATAGATGTGTAGTAATATCTTACTGTTGTTTTAATTTGCATTCTCTGATGACATCTGATGGAGACTGTCTTTTCATTTGCTTATTTGCCACCTGTATATCTTCTTTGATGAGGTCTTTTGCTCAGGTCTTTTGCCCGTATTTTAATTGAGTTGTTCATTTTCTTTCTTGGTTTATTCTGGATTAATATGAGGGCACATACCATTAGGTTACATTGTTTGCATTTGTAAGATGAAGTCCGAGCTGTAGTTGAGTCTGTCACCCAGGAAACGTGTCATATGCCTGTATAGTTGTTGAGCTTTAAGAGTTCTTTTGTGTATTTCAGATATGTGTCCTTTATCAGATGTGTATTTTGCAAACATTTTCTCCAAGACTATGGCTTGTCTCCTCATATTCTAGAGAATGTCTTTTGCAGAGCAGAACAGTGCTGGGTTTTAATGCTATCTTTATCACATATTAAGTTGTTTTTTATTTTTCTTTTGAGACAGAGCCTCAAGCTGTCCCCCTGGGTAGAGTGCCGTGGCATCACAGCTCACAGCAACCTCCAGCTCCTGGGCTCAAGCGAGTCTCCTGCCTC